GAAGTATGTCGATATAGTCGAATCTGTGTTTATCGATTCTGCCGAATCCTTGTATATTTAAATGTAGATGTATTAAAAGATTTGCTGTATCTTAATCTTTAGTTAATCTTAATCTTTAGCTTCGTAAAATTTTAAATAAATGAGAAAATTCTAGATTTCTTGTAAACAAATTCTTAAAAAAAATAAAATTTAAAATGTTTCTCTCTGGAAAGTATTTCATTCCAGCGTGAAAATTATTTACATAAACATAAAATTATGCTGATTAAGAAAGTTAGATTTTTATTGTAATGAATTAAAATAACATTTATTACTTTTAAATCATATTAGTAATTAATAATGACTACTAATCCGATAAAATCTACATTTGTTTGAAAACTAGTTCACATGATTTGAATGTTGCAGTTCGCTACTTCAAGTTCACATTTTGTTAACTGTAAGCTAATATAAGTAGTTACTAGAAATTTTAAGGGAAGTAGAAAGCAATACTTTAGATGTGAAATACTTTAAATATTTCTTTCATTAAAGGTATGGCTTTAATCTTCAATATAAATGAGAGACTAGAATTCTGGTATATCTCAGTTTACATGAGCAAATCTAAATTAGGAACAAATAAACCAAAAACATTTCACTTTTTTTACAATTTTCCATATTTTAAAATCCCCTTTTTTATTTCGGAAATATTTCGTTATCATTTTTATTGATGATATTCAGCAAAGATTTTTAATGATCTTCATTTATATGTATCTCATATTTCATTTCAATCAAAATGCTTTGAATATTATCATAACAACTTTACTTTCTAAGAGCGCCAAAAGTCTTACTCTATTCGACTGCTTTCATTAAATTCTGGAACCCTCGTTTTACTGCAAATATTTTTAGTGAAATTGCTGTGGAAATGTATATAGATGTCATCTTTTAAAAAAAGCAGCATGATCTACGTTCTACTTTATGCTTTTTAATGCTAACTGCGAAATTGATCTGGATGACTTCCGCTGTATTTTAATCATTTACATATCCTCACCATTTTTGCAGTGGCGTCGTCTAGTTTGATGTCAACGGTTAACTAAATTTTATCTTTCTCTCTGAGAAGCTTATCTTTGTTCAAGTATTTAGATGGCTTAGTGTAGACATGGTTTATTTTAATCAAGCAGTACATGTGAAAGCAGATGTTACTGTTTCAACTATGCTGCAGAATTCCTTATACAATTTCAGAATAGCAAATTATTGTCAACAAAGTCTGATAATATGTTTCAAAGTGTAAAATAAAAGGTGTAAAGGTGTGAATTTAATCAAGTCCTTCTGATACACTGTTAATAAACGGCTCCGCTGTTACTCAGATTAAAATAAGGAAGTGGTAAAATGAGCTGACTCAGTATCATTCTGTAAACAGTTAATAAAATAAAGCTATCTTTTTACAGAAGGGTGCTTATCTAGATTTACGTTGAAAATTTGTGTAATAAGAAGGACTGTTTTCATATTTTTGGTCACTCCACTAGGAACATTCAAATATTGCATTATAAATCCCCTTGGTAATACGTCTGATAAGGTAATATCAACCAAATTTCTGCAGATATAACAGATCATCAGTCTATCCTTTCCTGGTATTACTCGCCCGGGGAGAACTCTCTAAGGTTTCTAAGAAGTTACAACTGCAATGATAGCATAACTCGTTTTAAGCTGCTTACATTTTAGATAGTGATTTGAGGCTAATCACTCAGACCAAAAGCATATTATCTCATCCATGTTCGCATTATCTCATCTCTTAGATGTTTTAAATTATCAATGATGACCACGTAATCTGAGAATCCACATATTTCGCCACAGGATATAAAGTACCAACCACCAAAGTCCTCTATTAAATTTGGTAGCAAAATTTGGTTTGAAGGCCAAAACACCCGAGACAATCTTTCATTCAAGCGGCCGTAACAGATCAAAACGGCCGAGGTTTCAATGTTGTTTTCTATCCTCCTATTAGCAGGTGCTATTTCACCAAATGCAATGCATCAGTCCATTACAGAAAGCTTGTCCTAAAAGGCTAATGGAGGCTTCTTTGTTAGGAAGCAGAAAGGTTGTCATTTGAAGTCTTCACTTCCATTTATGCTTTAATGGACGGGGATTGGAGGAAACAGACGGGACTAGTAATGGACAGGGACGGGCGTTTCGATATTTTAAGCGTACGAATTATCGAAGGCTTCGGGTTTCTAAGGGTTAAACCACCAGGGCAACGGCATAACCAAATTTTGCTGCAGGCCGAATACCACCGAGCATTCGCCAGGCATTTTTCAGAGTTTTAAGTGAACAATAAGTTGCTAAAATGTATAGAGTATTTATCGCCCTATACAATAGGCTTACTTGTCATCGAGATGTTTGCTTATACGCAGCTTCTCATCCTCGTCAAACCGTACCTTTCAACTTGCGCCAAACGCTGTCAACGTATGTGCTAATGTGCCTCTTAATACATGTGGAAATCCAGTACTGATTCCGCCAACTGAACCAAACCCTCCTTTCTTCAGACAAAATTGCAGTAATACTTGTTGACCTTTAATAAAGAGTTTATGAATACGTGTCCATTTTAATATGACAGTATCAGCTCAGGACATGGATAGATTCAACAAGACTGGAATTTCCACCCCCCAAAATTTTCATTTGCATTGAAATGATTATGATACGTACAACATCAATGTGTTCTTCCATGTGACCCATTTTGCAAAAACCTATCTTAATTTATCTTAGAATGCTGAATGCTGCTATTTATAGCGTGCTTCAGGCGCCGCATGCATTACAACCCATAGATTTAATTTCCATTAGATGGCCCAAGTTTCACCGCATGCAACATATTTCCTGTTCGAGGAAATAAGATGATCATCAGTATGCAAGTTATACGTTAAAAGTTTAATTCGGTTTTTGTCAATAGCTATAGTGAGTTTTTTTTTTTTTTTTTAATTATTACATTTTCTCATGCAATTTTGTGAAGGAATATTGCTCTGCAGAGTATTAAGAGGAGAAAATAATTCGTAATTTAAGATACTTAAATATCAATGGAGAGACAGGTATTCATAATGCCAGCGTCAGTTTATGTTACTTTTAACATGTGAATACTTTATTTATATTTTAAACAGAAACATTTTCGAAAATGTGAATTAAGTAATGCAAGAAATATTATATTGTTTTCTATAATGTGTGATGATTTAATTGTGCATGAAAGAAGCTTTTTATTCACGGCCGGAATAACTGTAAATGTGCCAGACGTACAGGTTTCGTATGAGAGCTGGTATGCACAATTAGCCTGATAGTTACAACATTACTTTATTTTTTTTGTGTCGAATAATTTCAAAACACATATATTCCTTATTGACACAACATTGTAAGTTCTCCATAGCTTTATATAAAAAGTATTACATTTATAAACCATTGATGAAAGCTTCAAAGCCGCGAATAGATTGCTAATTGAGCAATGGAAGGGTGAAAAGATGATTGCGTATTAGCAGCTGGGGTGTATATAGTGTCGAAATCCTTTATTTGAATTCTAAACGGTAACTGGACAAAAGCTTTTGCATTGCAGAAAACTGCAGATAAAATAAATGACGTAAGCGACGCAATTTATATTGTAGGACAGGGATGATGCGAAATTAAAGTAAAAATTAAAAGAACTGCTGCCAATTAAGTTAGTAATTTTCTAGTAATACTCTTTTGTATTTTATGCCTTATACATATATATTGATATCGTGCATTTTTAAACACAAACTGAATTGTCTGTACTGTAGAAAAATGGACATGTATATAATTCTTTGTCCGCAGACAAATTTCGCAGAGTTCTACTGCGGAATGATATGGGAATATTAAGTTACTTGGGGTGATTTCTGTGTAATCGCAATGGTGACATCTTGATTAATCGATTCGACCGTGGTATAACTGGATGGGCTTATCAAAATAATTCCTCCCTACTATGATGGTTGATTTTGGAATGCAAATTTTGGAATTATGCTGATTTCTTCAACATATCTAATTTAGTTAGACACATAAATGTAACTTTACGCGTCCATTTTTTTCTCAAATTTAACAATTATTTTAAAAGTGAACTATTCTTTTCTTATAGTTAATTTTATCTTACAAAAATAACTTCAAATCACGTGTGCCACTGATTTTGTTTTCCGTTGAATACCTACTTCATCATGACAGAGAGATGGTAACTTGTTTGTCATGTTAATTAAGGAAATTTAATTAACATAACAAACTCAAACGAAATTAAATCTTGATAAGAAGAAAATTCTTTAATGATGTGATAGAAACAAAAGTGGCATTAGGGTCTTCCAAATGAGCAAGTTGAAAAGGGTACTAAACAGGAAAGTGAAAACTTTTTTGGGCCTTATTTAAAAACTGAAACCTCTAACATATTTAAAAAGACGTCTCTCATTTATAAGAATAAAATCTCACTTGCCTAAGAGCAAGAAATTGGAATCTATAACGTAGTGTCTAGAGCACGCCTGGCACCATTAAAAAAATGTAGCAAATAGATAAGTAATATGTATATAATTTCGGGGGTTAGATTAAAAGACGATAGACCTAATTTGAAAATTTAAAATGGTTTCAAAAAGTGTATATTTGCTAGGAAAGAATTCTTTAGGTAATTTTGAAAGCAGGAATGGAAGAACAGTAGATTCATCAGTACCGATTAGATTTATTAATTTCTCTTTTTCTAATAGAAAGTCGCGTCTATTACTGCAAAATTCCAGAATTTTATTGTATAATAAAATACTTAATGTAGAATAAATCATAGTTATCATAGTTGCTTTTAAAAAGCGTTTGTTGATCTAAATTATAACAAAATTCTGCATAAAAATATGTGCAGCTTTGCTGCAATAAATGGATATCAGTTGAGGTATCTTTAAGGATTTCAGTTAAAAAGTGATACAGATATTACTTTCATAAAAATTAAATGTATAACTATTTCGCATTTATGTGTGTCCACCCACTAATTAGAGATATTTCTTCCTATACAGATGGGTGAATACACATCCTACGCGAAGTTATGGACGCGAGCTCATGACAATATGCCAGGTTAGTCATCGCTGCTTAGTTCTTTAAAACATTATGTGTTTTTCTAGTACGTATTATGCATGCTAATTGTAAATATATGCAAATTTGCTGTAATGCCTAATAGTTCATTAAGTTCAAGTGATTTGAATATGAAAAAACTGTTTAAATAATTGTTGCTAATATATTAGGAGAAATGTATGATTTTAAAACATCACTTTCATTAAGTAAAAATTATTTGAAATTATTTCATTTAAACTAAAGCAGAAAAAAAGATAATAAATGCGAATAGAGATACGAAATGTAAATGCTAAATTCAGAAAATAAATTTTACTTTTTTTTTTTCATGTATTCAAGGCGGTGTTCGCCGATGGCGGATTAAACAACGCAATGCGAAAACTTCGTAATAGAAAGCATGGGAGAAAAGAAAGCAAAAAGAAAATATTGCAGTTCTAAAACATCGTGGTACAAAATATCATCGTCGAAAAAAATGCGGTTTAAAAACATCGTTGTTGAAAATATTGTGGTAAATCATCGCATGACGATAACATCGCACACATGCGTTTTTCAGATTTTGAAAATTTCGCATAATGATTTGGGAGCGCAAGAAGGAAATAGGAATATTTTTACTTCTATATTTCATATTTTTGAATGAACTAATAACTTTTTGATGAAAAAGTGAGAAAGAAAATTAAGAATTTGAAAATAAAAAAAAAAAAAAAAAAAAAAAAAAAAAAAAAGAAAATTAATAAAATTAACGAAATAACCTAATGTCGCTACAGTGGCGCCCGAACTAAAAAAATGTGATGGATGACGATTCTCCAGCATCAGGATTTGGCGATTGGGTTCTCCTAATCCCCCAGTCGCCCTTTAAAGGGGGTATATGAGTTATTTCTCCCGCCTTCTTAGCATACCTTCGTGGTGTAATGCTCAGCACGCTCGGCGTGTATTCGAGAGGTCCAAGTTCCGGCGAGGACATTGCGCCATTTTTAATGTCTTACTCTTCGAAATAGCCTAATGTCTCAACATGTCTACAAATATTTTTTTTGGCAGGATAGTCGTGGTAAGAAAATATTTTAAAGAAAACTCACAGTTCAGGACATATGACATCAGTGTATAGAAAGAAGCTAAATTTTGGTTTTACTTCTCTCTAAGATTTAGTATTTAGTACATATCCTACTTGTTCAGTCATCCTTAAGAATTTATGGCCATAAGCAGATGATTCAGAGCAAGGTGGATCAATGATCCTGAAGTGAAACTAGGATCAATGACGATAAAGGAAGCAAAGAGCTACAATCTATTGTTCAGCTTATCAATCAAGCCAACCGAGCGGGCAAAATAAATGAGCTCCTGATTACTGAGTCCATTGCAGAAAAAGAGGAAATGTTTTGTACTTCAAAGTTACCGAGATTTATAAAGCACTTATTGCAGAACCAGGGTAACGGAAGATACTGAATATCTGGCGAGGTCAGATATTTCGGATAAAGCTTTAAAATGTATTTTATTGACTGTAGCTAGAGAAATAATTTATCATTGTTGTCAGACGTATTCCCATTATTGTTATCCTACTAAAAATTCCAAGATTGTAGCAGTCTGAATTATTTCTTATTGCCTAATTTCGATTATTGTGATGGTAATACATGACAGTTTGGATTATGTATGCAATTATATGAGAATAATATATGCTAATTCTTTCACTGCTATATATGTACACCTTGCGCAAAAAATTTGCGGCAGCTCTAAACCTCTCGTTCCACTCGGCCGATTGACGAACCTGCGTTCTCTATATCTCGAAAGTGCGAATAGACTTATATATATATATATATATATATTGCATTGTACTAACACAGGTATTTTGACATGAAATCGGACATTTTCTGAATGAGATTATGATATTTTACATATTTCGGTTCTACGACTCAAATTATGCCTAAATTTGGTAAGAAATTGGGGAGAAATTAAAAAATTTATCTTGGTGCAATTTTTTTTTTTTTTTTTTTTTTTTTTTTTTAGTTTGCGCTAAGAATAATTAACTTATCCAGATACTTAATTTATGGTAGCCTATTTTCCTTTCCCTTTTATTGTGCACGAGCGGGAAAAAAGTTGCATCGTTCATTTATTTTAAACAATTTTATTGAAGTGCTTAAATTATTTTTGACATTTTTATCGCTTATAACAAACATGTCAAATTTAAAAACGAGGAAATATACAAATTAACGTATATCTTGTGAAATTTTTTGCAGGTTAGAAACACATCCATTTAAGATGATGGTAAAAATTTCGTAGGTTATAATTCAAAATGTTTACAAAAAATTTATATATTTTTTAAATACAAATTTTAAAAATAAATCATAAAAAAGCGGTGAATTTTGTTTGTATTGAACCTAAATTTTGAACTGCGAAAGAAGGAATCAAGTAAATGCAACAAAAAATAGATATTAATAAATATATACCAAAATTAATTTACACTGAGGAGCTAAATCTTTGAGACCTAACTTTGTCAAAACTACTCGAGAGATTTTTACAGAACCTGACAGTTTGGCAAAATTTCAGTCATAGAATCGAAATACGAAAAAAAAAAAAAAAAAAAAAAAAAAAAAAAAAAAAAAATTATGTCATTCCAGAAAAAGTCCGATTTTATGTCAGAATACCTATATCAGAATAGTGCTATACACACTGCTGACCATTAAAATTGCAACATCATGAAGAAAAACAAATACAAAAAAGATATTTATTGTACGTAAATAGTAATTCATGAATAGAAAATGATTAAATTTTTAAGCAGTTTGGGAATTTACAGGTTGCAAAAGTAATAGAAGCAGCTGCCACTCCTAGGAACTAAAATGGGTCTTAACCGGTTAAAAGCATGGTGTCGCACAGAGCTTGGATGACAGAAACTGTCAATTCATTCAATGTTGCTTCAACTCTACATCACACTTCATCTACCGCATTAGCTGGAGAGCTAATCTCTCAGCAACCCACGTCCAAATGTTTTCAGTGAGTGACAGACCTGGAGATCGTGCAGGCCAGGGCAGCAATGGAATAACCTGTGTATCGAAGAAGGTCGGACCACGACATGCAACATGTGGTCTTGCATTATCTTGAACACGATATGCAACATGTGGCGTAGGACGTCGATGCACCGCCCCTATGCCGAAATCGAATTCAAGTGGGTGAGGTGCAGTCTCCTCGGAGCATCCAGACACGTACACGACCAATCAGAATACCGCACGCAGAACCGGTTCTCGTCTGAAAAGACGTTATTGTGCCATTCCGGTATCCAGTTACGTCGTTCTGCGCACAGTCGCCGTGTATCGCTCTATGCTGCATTGTCAAGGAAACCAAAAATAATAGTCGGTGTGCTGATAATCCACGCTGCTACAAACGTCGACGCACCTTATGGAGGGATACTCGGCGTGCTGCAAACATGTGCCCATTTCCCGGACTAATGGTTCGTAATGTGGTTGTACGGTTTTCCAGCGCTGGCCTAACAATATGTCTCCGGCGTTGGTCACTTGGAGCGCGTTGATATCCTCGAGGCTTTGCCGTAATTAAATAAATGAAGTGAAATTAATTGTAGGAAATATGTCTCAGCCCATTGAGCCAGCTCTCCGTGGCTGTTTTCACATCACTGTCTAAAGAGAATCTCAATCCAGGTAAATGCTCCTCCAATTTCGGTAAAAGGAAATAAGTTATTGAGTGCTAAACCTGGGCTATATGGGGTGACTCCAACTTCCTAATTGAAAGTTTGCAGGAATTCTTGAGTATGGTGAGCAGTATGGGGCCCGGCATTACCATGCAGGAGGATGGTTTCACGTAGCCTTGTCCAAGTACCACAATAAAGATCGGCAGTAACGGTACTTCCGCCATGATCCAGATACTCGATCAGGAAAACGAATCACGGCTTACACTCCAAACAAACCACGTTCCTAAACGGCTTGTTATTTCAGTTGCTCTGATGCGTCTACAAACTTCGTGTACCAACTTGCACAACCGCTGCTAGACAACTAGTGCATTCCCTTCATAATTATTACTTTTAAAATGCTGATGCTTGTAACCTTTTTACTTCCTCGTACGTAAAAAGGAAGTATTGTAATCGCGAACATTTTCAGGCACCATATTTCAACGAAAATATCCAGTTTGACCCCTACCGAATGCAATTTAACTATGTTTTTACGTGACATCTGTACATAAGGACAAAACGAAAGATTATTTTCCTCCACAAAAATTATAAAACCGCTTTAAAATGAATTCTGAAGAGAATTTTTCGTGGTGTCTGTACGTACGTATGTATCTCGCATAACTCAAAAACGAGTAGCCTCAGAACGTTGAAATATTTTACATAGGACTGCAATAACATGTAGATGTGCACCTCCTATTTTGGTTGCAATCGGTCGTACCAAACATATGTGAATCTCTTCATGTATATATATATATATATATATATATATATATAGTTACTCGGCTTCGTGAGATTAGTTTGCTTTCTTCTTATATGTTGGTAAACTATGCATTTTTTTCCTATAAAAGTGATTGAAATATGTTATTCTTATCTTACGGTTAAGGATTTAATGCCTTTAGTTATTTTGCATGCTATAATTGCAGAATTATCAACAATTTAAAAATTGTTTAAGTGTGGTTAAACCTAATATTTAAATAACATGGCGGACATATTTGTTTGCATTTGAAACAGCAGAATAGTAGATTTGTTACCAATCTAGAGAGACTAAGCTTCGCAACAAAAAAGATAATGCCTTCATTTGTTATTGTTATTGCGAATTAATTCATGCTTAATCCTTTCTGGAATTTTTTCGAGGAAATGTTTAAGATTTAAGTTAAATTTTAACATAAATATTTTGAGTTTTTATGTATTTTTGCCTTGTCGCGAAGTGAGAACTGAATTAATTGAATGAGAAATACTGGATCTTCTGTGAAAAACTGTTTCTTTTTCGTTTTTTTTCCCTCCCGAATTTCTTTTATACATCGTTCTAGATTTATTATAGTATTTTAATAGAACATGTGGC